TTTTTTTTTTTTTTTTTTTTTTTTTAAGATCAAGATGTGCTCAGATTTGATTAACCTTAGCCTGTCATTTCACAGGTTTGTTTGTCATGTATGTTCATATTTTTAAATGAAGGAAATAACAGCATCTGCATCTGCATCTTCGTTGATTTGGAGAGATTTAGCTGTCCTTTCTAATGCTATATATATTCTTTAACATAAGGAATGAGTTTAGACACCAAAATTTGTAATTATGTTAACAATACAATGCACTAAGTGCTCAATCTCTAAAATAAAATTTCATTTGAATAATTAGCTTTTGAATCCTTTGAATCTAATCGATCCAAAAGAAATCAAGCTTAATCTATTATCATAACATTTGACTTTATTCATGAAATTTGAAACAAATGTCAGCATAAACGATAATGGCTTTCTTGAAACTCTAGTTGCTAAATCATTTGTGGGCTATGAAAGGAATGAATTGAAGTATTTTTCCTCGAAAATAACTAAATCAAAGCCGATTCAAACACGCAAGTTTAGTTCACCTATGTAGACTGAGTAAATATATAACCCAAGAAAAAAAAAATAGAGCAGTGTGCTAAGGCCATGTGGAGGATATAGGTATTTGACAAAGCAAACATTAAAAAAGAGTGCATTAAAGAAACTTTTGTTGTGAAGTCTAAAATTAATAAACCATCAACCAGTGGCAGTGGAAATGACATCAATCAGATACCCTAATAGTACAATCGCACAATCAAACAGACCTGATTCCTGCCTGGAAATTACAAAAGTCACAGTTTCTGAAGCAATTATGTTAAACTTATAAATATTAAAAGCTACTTTTCCCAATAAAAATCTAGAATTTTATATAATACAGCACAAAGAAACTTTCTTTTTCATGTGGGGTTGTGTATGTTTCACTTGTAAGCTCTAATCCAACATAATTATGGCAAAGCATTTGAAGGAAACAGAGATCAGCCTGAAGCAGAAGGAAAGCATGTGAGAAAGAAACAATGGTGTGAATAATTCATGTAACCTGTATTGTGACTGTCCCATTTCCTTGACTTATTCATTATGAACAATAATATTTTTCTTCAGAAATATAGAATCATATAATGCCATGATAATGGGTTTGATAAAAATGCCTAATGGCTTCTGAAAAGGTTTGAGCTGAGTAGAGCCATTGAAACTGAAAGCATTTTGACAGCTTTTTTGTTCCAAGGAAAAATAACTTACAAAACTTTGATAGCCACTATGATGAAAGCTGTCCTTGTCCTTGTCCTTGGGTTGAGACCTGTAACAATGTATAAAATTCAGTTTGAAGAATAAAGCAAAGGAAAAGCACTGCCCATTAAGAAACTCCCAAATCCACAAAAGCTCAGGAAAAAAAAAAGGCTTTAACATGGAATTCTTTGTCATAAGATCAATGTTTCCTATGGAATCCATTAGGTTTTTCTTTTCTTTCTTTTTGGCCTTGGCTGTTGGGTGGTGGGAATGTGCAAGCAACCAATCTGAAGCAAATGACTTTGATTCAAAGATAAATAATGAATGAGATAAGGTCGCGTTTGGCTGTCCCCATTATGTACACATACTGGTTCCAATTGTTTATCCTTAGCAATTGGAATGAGGCAACATTACACAGCCATTAGTGGAGGAAAAAACTAAAGCAGAGAGGAATTTCCTTTTCTTTAAGGCATCTGAACTACCTCATCTTGTGACTTGCAAAAAGGCAAATGTATCCTGTAGAAACCACATGTTCCAACTTGATTTATCCTGCAATTATAGCTTTTGAAAAGAAAGTTCAATGACTAAACCGACTACAACTGTAATAGGCCCAGTATTTGCAATCTTCTGGCCCTAAAAAAGCAGCCCATGTTGAAAACTTTTCCTATTAAAACATCCTTTTCACAAACTTCTAGCAGATCTTTCTCTGAATGTTTTCAATCTCACATTTCCAGCTAGAAAAATGACGCCCCAAATGCCCAATCCTAATTCAAGCAAAATCTCAAAGTTCATGATCCATCCTGATCATTTTATTGCACATCACAAATAAGAAGAATCAAATAAATGAGGTGGAAATTGTGGAAAGATAATGCACATTCAATGCTATTACCATATAATCATCAACGGCCGTTGAGAGAATAAATTACATACGGGCATAACAGCATCATGTTTGGGGCCTTTAACCTACAGTCGATAAATAAAACAAAATCTTCATCAAATCATAGATTGTCTATCTGCTTGAGAGAAGAAAAGTGAGCCTCAATTCGGTTCAGAGTTTCTTGATCAATATTAGTTTTATTAGTCAACTTTGGCAATGAATAACCCAATTCTCTCCTCGAGTCTAAATCTTTCTTTGTAACTTGCTCCTTGGACGTGCCAATCTCCTCAGATTCTGTTTGACTGGATGTTACGTCCTTGTGGAAAAGCTGATGTTTCACAGCCAAGCAAGACTTTAAATCCTCCTCATTCCTGGCTTTGTTTAGCTTGTCAATGAGATTACCTAAAGCTTGAGCTTTTTTGGCATGCCAACCTTTTTCCGTTTTGCACCCATCATTAGCATTCGTTTGGTCAGCGACCTTAACAGGTTCAGCTCGGTCGGTGACCTTATTGATGCTATCAGAAGCCTCGACTTTTTGAAGTTTCCTTAGTCCATCTTCAACAATTTTTCGTATCCTCTTTCTAGAGTTTTCTGATGTAACTGGATTTGATCCTAACTTCAACATCAATCCAGGTATCATTTCCTCAGGGTTGGATTCTGTAGCGGAGTTTATAGAGGGCCCATCCTTGGCAGACTCATCAATCATAGATTTCATGGAAAATATCTCCTCCAATAGATTAACATTCTGCATGTATCGATCAAAAGCTTCATTTTCTGCTTCAATATGCCCCTCCCGAAATTCCCTTAACTTAGAAAACCTCCATTCATTGATTGCAGCGGCATCCTAAGAACCTTCTCAAATTAGAACAGGCAATGTATGCGTTCAATAACTACATAGCAGAAGATAAATTGACTAACTATGAGCACCTTTCTAGTCAATGGCTTCCGTGAACGGAGTGGGATTTGCACATTGCTGAATTGAGAAAAGTTGCTTGAAAGATATCGAAGTGAATTTACTCTAAGCGAACTCCTGAAGCACAACCAACAGAAAGGAAACTCTCAACATGCACAACCAAAAGAAAAGGAGAAGTATAGCTTTGAAGTGTAAAGCTCAGAACATTGAGACTAATAATGACAGCCTAATTAAGCATGGTTGACATGGTATTAGTACATGTTGGATTTTGGCTGTACCAAGTTGCATCACAGTGAAATAATCTGATGTCATCTTCAGGGGAAGAAAATTATCAAATTAACTTTTGAGTTCACAAAACGTTAGAAAGTGGAAAATTCTATACAATCTTAAAACAATAATATCCTGAAGAGCCTAATTTTCAATGTCTGAGAAGAATTGTGACAAAAATCAGTAACTTCCAACCTTCCACCAAAAATGTTAACAGTGAAGAATACGACTGACAGCCTTTTGCATATTTAAATAATAAAAGACATGCATGACTGGTGCAGAGAAGCCAATATGCTGAACGAAATTATATATAGCTAGTCAGGGGCAGATTAAAGAAAGGTGTAAAATAAGATCAAATGGTGTCTAGAACTCACATACTTACCCAGATGATGGATCTGCTGATTGCTTGTCAAATAGAGGAGAGCTTGAAGAAGGTGTTTTGTCCGGAAAAGTTGCATTTGCTTTTAACACTACATCATAAAACCAATGGTATCAGAATCATGTACCAAAACTTCAATCTAACAATACCACAAGTCTTCCACAACCTCAAACAAAGGCATAAGTGAAGACAAGTCAACAACAAAATATAAACATATGCTTATGCTTCAATTTGAAATGCCTGGCAAGTTTTTATTTACAAGATAAATTTTAAATATTTTGATCTATTTGTAGTAAGGGTAAGTCTATGACAATTACTCAGCATCTGAGACGTATCAAACAAGTGTTCCACAGAACAAAATTTTTTCCTACAATATAATATGTTTCAATAAGATAAAAGGTGGAAGAGAACTAACTAAAAGTGACCCGTCCTACCAATAAATCTAGGCTTCAATTAAGACGCTTCTTGATTATTATTATTTTTTTATTTTATTAAAAAAAATTAGGAAACCCACCAAATTGGCAACTTCCTGGGAGTATCAAGTAATACATTCAGGTCATATAAACCACTCATCGTGACATTTGACTACCATTAGAATAGAAGCAACTTATATAAAACTTCTTTGTCACAATTTCTTTTTATAGAGATCCTGGAATTATCTTCTGGAAAGAACAAGGACTCAGATCAACATTAAATGAAAGAGAATAAAGGGCAATTACAGCTAATTCTTTGGCTCTTTGAAAGACATGACTTTAAAGTACAGATATGAAAAGATTCAACGTTTAGGAGAAAACGAAAAAACAGGCATAAATTTTGGAACAATTATCTTGCTGCCCTCTGCATTTATTAACACCCCAAGATGCTTTACACCAATTCAATTGGAAAAGACAAAATTTTAACCTTCAGTACAAGAAGCTTGATATTATAATTGTGTCCACCTTGTACATGACGCTTTAACTCCAACTTAATTGAGGATTGATGGGTGGGGTATCTCTTTTCCCCTTTTTCCCCTCACGTTTATCATCTCCTTTATTCTAATTCACCTTCCTGGCTTCTCCCTTCCTTTTCTACAGTATTCGCCTCATACAACTGCAATTGGGCATCCCTTGTTCAATCTAGAATCTTCTAATGTTTCTTCTTATTTCCTCGATTGGTTGGCTTTTCTATCCGCCTAAAGGCTAGAGATGTTCATCTATGGACCCCTAATCCTTTGATCGAGTTTCCATGGAAGGTTAGGATTCTCACTCCACACCCACTATATTTTTCTCACTTTGAAAGGTTAGGATTCCCAAGGTCAATTTCTTTCCAGGGAAATCCATACGCAAAGCAAACTAACATTAGTGACCTTACCCAAAGACTGTCTCCTTTGTTTCTAGGACCTTAGTAGAGAAGCTAGTGTAAGGGTTCCTTCTGATATGAACCACACTCTACAGGTGCCAATTTTTAAATTCAATTTGAGAGTCCATGGTGTTGAAGTGTACATTACTGTACATAAATATATTTTAACACATGCAATAGTTGCAAGTCTCTGCTAGGTTCAACGCCTCTTTAGGGTGTCAGTATCTAAGGATCTTATTGATTATCCATCGTCACTTTCTCAACTACTGGAGCCCTTCTTTGTAACTTTTTTTAGTTAGTTTCCTGTGTAGAATTTTCCCTTTTTTTGTATTGCATACCTGTAGATATTTCTTTTTATTGGACACATTTTTATTTTCATTCATCTGAATGAAAGTTTGTTTGTCATGGGAGAAAGAGAAAGCACCAGATGCTACCAACCAATCAATTATGTCATTGGTTCTTAAAATATATTGAACACAAGTTTCAACAATTTCCTATAAGAATGAGCAAACCAGGAAACACTATGTGCATTTGATGGCTGCTTTTTTTTCTTTAAATCGGAAGCAGGTTTTCACTGAGAAATGCAAGTACAGAAGTGGCCAAGCCAAAAGTAGGAAGTGCAAAACTTAAAAGGAAAAAATGGCAGCCACCATTACCATAAAATGGCCTTAGTCGCTTTTTGTAGTACTTTTTTACTAATATGTCTTTTTTTTTTTTAATCTCATTTCATCATCACTTGAAGATACAGGTGTGCATCAAAGTAAATTCATCAAATACAAATATATTTATGTTCAATATAATTATACTTCTCCAATTTTATATCAAGCAATGTATTTCCTGAAGGCAAGCAAAATGTTTGTCATCTTACAGTGTATTTAATGTTTTAAATAGCAAAAAGCAACTTTGAGGGCCTTTTCTTCTTTTGAGATTTAAGACATAGGCCTCAATTTAAGTAGAAGGTTTTACAAAAATCTAATGTAGAACGCATATAACTGACCATAATGATGCTATAAATAGGAAAAAATAACCTCTCATGTTTTCTTAAATATCAACATCATCACTACAACAATAGTAACAGCTAATGTCATTCCTCTCACCATCATAAGAGGCGTAGTTGTAAAGCCTTAATATACTCTATTGAGCACATAAGCCTCTTTCAAACCAAAAAATAACATCCCTCAACGCCTAACATTAGTGTCTTTCAAAACACTTAAGTGCATCTTGTGTTCTGAAAATCCCTAGTTTCTTTTCTAGCTCCGAAATTCCCATGGATGGAACCAGCCCACCATAATTCTACATAATCTACGAGGGATGTCCCCTCGCCCCAAAATAAACCCCTACTACACACACAAGAAGGGGCGTGAATGGAGATGGTGATACCACGCTAGACACATGAATGATCTATGCAAATGAAGGTTGATAGACAATTGGCATTCATTAGAACGTCAGACAATTGACATGCCATAGCAAAAAAAAATTAGCTATAACACTAAAGCCAATAGAGAGATCACTTTGATACCGTGAATATGGCATGGGTTTTGATTTCTCGCACAGCAGCTCTTGCATGATTCATAAGGACACCTGCAAGAAATTCCATCTTAGGATAATATTGCTGAAGATTCTAAACGATGTTTCGGAAAGAAAATATCAAAATCAGCTAATGAGCTAATACGGGGAGCAAATACTATGACTAATCTACTTATGAAAAAAAAGTAAGATAAGTAGAAGTCCATTTTGAGAACTTTCCAAGAACCATTCCATAGATATTAGCAATAAACCAATCAAGAAAGGAAGAACTGACAGACGAAAACAACCCGCACTCGAACAAACAAATCTAGGGCTTCCAGAGCATCATAAGTAAAAAGTTAGTCACAAGGAGAGTAAACAGCAGGCCAAGAGATCACTAAACCTGGAACGAGCAACATTGCCACAAACCCTACATTTGGGCTTGTTGAGGCCGCGAAGGGTCTTCGGCGGCGTTCCAGTACGGTTCGCCAAGTGGTTGGAGGAAACCGCAACGTTAGCCGTGACAGCGCTAGCGGTGGTGGTAGTAGTGGTGGCGGTGTCGGAGCTGTTGTTGCTAACGGAGGGCGAGGGAGCCGCCATGCAAGAAAACGAGACGAAAGTAGAAGAAACGAAGCAAAATTCGGAACTCAAAGGAGGAAAATTCGAAGAGAAAAGGGGGAAAAGAGGATGAAAAGTGGTAAATTAATGAAGAATTTTTGAAAGTTTGTTGAAGGGCGGGAGATTTGGGTATTTGTGTTTTAGTTTGGCGGTAACAGATCAGGAAATCGGGGACGGCGAAAAACTGTAAAATAGATCCGGCGAGCATCCAGTTCCCTTCCCTACACGGTTTTGGGGTCAAATTTTTAATTTAATTTCTTTTCTGCTACTTCTGTAATTAAGTTGGGTGAACATAAATATGGTGACTTGGCCCAGCCCTTAACTTTTGGGCTTCTATATTGGGCTTCTATATTGGGCTTCCCTATTGGGCTGGGCTTATGAAAATTGGGTATTCCATTTTCAATGGAAATTAGATTTGAGGGGGAAAATATTTTAAATTAGAGTAAATACCTTTCTTTTTTGTACCTTGTTTGAGAAAAAACCTATAGCTTTAGTTTCAAATTACTATTATTATTAAATTCTTTATTTATTTATATTCTCCGAGCGAACAAAATTTTTGGACCAACCCAAATTTTCGAGTTGGTTAGATTGACTCGAAATTACTTCATAACTCAATTCAACTCAATCCTCACAGACGAGATAATAATTCAACTCAAATTTTTGGAAGTCAATATATACTTCTATTTTGTACTTGTACTCGATTGTAATAACTTTTTATGAAGTAAATAACTTTTTTCGTAAATTTTTTTTATTTTCTTTTAATTTCTCGGCGGGTTTAGAGTATTGATGGGTTTTCATACAAAACATTTGAATTTTTTTTATTCAATGTATTTTATGTTTTTTTTTTTCAATTATTTTTAGTTGGAATGCTAAAATTAACTTCTTCTTTTTTTTTTTTTTTTTTTTTAATTCAACTGCTACTAAATAATTGATTAAATTATAATTTTGAAATTTGTATTTATTTTGATTTTTTTTTTAACTACAATTTTAGTGTTAAAATTTTAATATAATATTATTTTAATTAACAAATGTACTGAAATTTCAAAATTCTATTATAAAAATATTAAAAAATTTATTTTGTGTTGACCTTATAAAACATAAAATTTAATACCATTTTATAGTAATTTTATTTATGGCAAGTAGGAGTGCATTTATAATAAGGACAAAAATACTATTGGTTAAGAGGGAATGAAAAGAAAGGAGACGGTAATGGATAAGGTTTGGATAAGGGCTGCAACACACCTAAACAAGTTAAGTACATATACTCTTTTTATACCCTTAAATTATCAACTTTCTCCTCTTATATCCCTTCTTCACCTTGTAATTTTGGACGTTTTGTTTCGAATTCGTATCTCCTTTATAACGTGATCCTATTACACATTTCTCCCTCTCTTCCCTTCTTTTTAATTAATTTATGAGGCAGTACGTGACTTGTTACGTAAATCTCCCCTTAATTCGAAATTGCAAAGAAGAATCCTTTGAACCAATAATAATATGAGATACATGAAAATAGTATCTTACTATTTTGTTTGTGATGACTTCGACACAGCATTATTTTAAGTATCGAAGAATGGTTGACAAGCTCAAGGTGGCACATTAATGAGTAACTGATGAAGACATGTACTTAATGATTCGAGTTTAGCTTAATAAATAAGACATGAATTACGATTAGAGATATTTGGTCGAGAACTCGTAGGGGCATACCCCAAATAGAGCAAAAAAATCTCAATTTAAATGGAAAATGAGGGGAATTGGGAGAGATTTGTCGTTATTAGCTAAACAATTAGTAGACAGGTCCCTAACCCAACCCTATCTCTCCTCAACTTTGTTAAGGATATTTTAGTATTAAATTATAGTTACCATATATATTATCACTTTTATATATATTCTCAAATAAATTATTTTCGAATTATGTAAATTATTAAATTTATTAAAATATTTTACATTTTTAATATAAATTATCTTTAGCGAATAAGAAGTATTAGTAATTCTTTTAATACGTGGATTAAAATTTATAAAGACTCCATAAATTAAACATGGCAGAATAATAGGTTCCAAGTTGTTGAACATGGCACCGAGCAGGTTTCATGTGGTGCCAAGTCAGCTTCTATACAGCCTCATCTATTCTTTATTACACACAAATTAATTAATTAATTAATTAATTAATTGGAGAGAGCCACCACCGACGACTTTATGCATATACTATAGAGTATAATTGCTACATCACATTTCAAACTATATAATAAAATTATGCTTCTTTAACTAATTTTGTACGCCTTTCTTTATTAGGTCAACAAAGCTAACCACCCATTATAAAAATTTAAATAAAACAATTTAGGTCTATTTCATATTTTTAATATCACCGATCTCAAATGGACACACTTTAAATCACTTTCCTAATTTATTCCTCTTATTATATATTATATATTTCAATAATTCAATATCTAAACTTTTCTATTTAAGGACTTTTAATTTTATATTTAATAAATTTTTTAACTTAAAAATTAAATTTTTTTCACATACAATATATATATATATATATATTTGTATAATTGATTTATTAGACAATTAATTTCTATTAATTAAATTCATAAATACGATTTAAAAATTCATAAACGATCATTTATGATTTTTGGATTTAGTATCAAAATTAAAAGCCAATATTTACATAAATTTAGTGTTAAATGGTCCAAAGTATTTAATAACAATAGGACGTTATACAAATTAGGTGTGAACTGTAACACATAATAATATATATATATATATATATATATATATATATATCATTAATGCCCCTAATTTTTTACTTAGATTAGAGATGTCATTATATGCATGTTTTTAATAACACGTGCAAAAAAACTTGATAAAACCTTACAAACGAAGTCATGTACTTATATAGAAGATTTAAGAGATAGGGGGCCAGCCAAAGAAGATGGTAGTAGGAAGGGAGCACGAACGAGGTTACTTATGCTTTTTTCATTGTCAATATCCTTCAATTTAAAATAAGAAACGTCAACAAATGTTATAGAGAAATATCAAAGTAAATTCGAGTACGAAAATGAAAACCTTAAACGATCTACGAACTATTAAGGAATTGCATACTACTATCCTAGCTTAGCTTCCATATTCATTCAAAGCATCACTGTCATCTATGTAGTGGCACTTTAATTTTACCAGAAATATAATACTAGCATGTGGCTTGAGTACTTTAAGAAATAGTCGGTAAGTAACGCACTATTGGGGTTAGGTAATGCAAATACACACATACATGATGAGATCTATCATTTTTTAAAATAACATAGCGCCCTTGAGCTCTTTCCAATCCGACAAGGGTTGGATGTGTGTTACTTCCCCAAATATGGCCCATGCACTCACATAAAGTCCCACCAGGCGGACTTGTATATAAATCCCCTGGACCTAGCTCGTTGGGCTATATGCACTAACAGGTCATCGGACACCACAGAGGGAAAGACCTGCATGATATTATGAAGAACATAAATATCGAAGGTACGCGTCCGTACTAACATAACATAACGGAGAAGTATCTCGAAACACATGACATACATAAATGTATGAGGTTTTCATGGCTTAAAATCATAGCATATAATAAGAATTAGTTCGTTTTTCCTTTTTTTCATGTCATAATACACATATGAGTAATGGTACGCATAATACTCATCATGACTTTCATCATGCATTATTATTAGTATAGTATAGATTTGTAACATGGCTTCACGTGACATGTCATAGCATCATACGACATCACGTACATAGTTCATAACATATATAACATGACATAATAGGACATCACATAACATATATAACATAGCATCATAGGTCATCACATAACATAATATTCCTAATTGTGTAATTGTGACGCATGCAGGAGCCACGGAGCATGGGTCATCATACATCATATAATTCTTTCAACCAACCAATAGTAAAGTCACTTGCTTGTTTGGTCTTGACTAGAGTTTCTAAATATTTTAAAGTTGGTATGAGACTATATCGATAACACCAAATTTATGTACTTCGTTCTATCTCGGGTGTGTGGGTGTTTCTAGTTAGAAGGTAGAACAATGCTTGATGGTTGAAGGAGGGAAGGATAAGGGTTTAAGAGGAGGGAGCGTGGTGGTTTCTTCCGCGAGATAGTCAGCCGCTAGCCAAAAATCTCGCAATTTTCAATGATGTTCAAAATTCAATTTTTTTTTTATAAACTATTGTTACAATATAATAAAACATTTTTGTTGACACTTCACCGAGATTTGTTATACCATATGTTAAAAAATAATACGACGTATGTAAAGACACGTTAAAATTAACTTAAGAATGGTTTACTTTCATACTTTTCATGAATAATCTTCGTACGAGATGCATACATACATGTACATGACATATCATTCATTTATATCATATATGATTCATTCAGTGTTTCATAGGATATAACGTGAACATGTTACCATAGCATACACGGATAGACATATTAGAAGTACATGCATTACAATATGACCACAAACATTACATATTATAATTCATAACTTGTAGATGAGTCATATAGCACGTGTTATTTATATAATATACAAATTCATCCGACCTAATTCAAAAGATTCGAAAGCATTCCAACATTATTTTGAATTATTTTGAATGAGAGAAAAGAAAATGAGGTGAAATGAGTAATTAACATATAAATGAAGTATAAAATGTGATAGAATCATGGTACAAAGGTGTCAGAATTGTATGTCAGAATAGACGACATATGCCACGTTGTCACCTCCGACCGCATTCTACGGAGGTCTGAACTGAACAGCAAGGCAAGAGGCACTCACCTGCCTCACCTTGTTAAGTTTCCAAGAAAATGGGTATCAAACTTCCTAAATTATATCCTAATCCACTAATCATTAATTCCTGACCAAAAGTACACATAATATATATTATTTATCGACTAAATTAATAAATATATTTCGTATTTTATCTTTTAAAATATATATATTTTTTATTTTTAAAAGTTTCAAACAAACTTTACACTTCGGAAAAATATTCTTGACCTTGACCTTAAAAAAAAGTACAAAAATATATTGCCGTTATTTTTTTTATTTATTTATAAAAAATATGAATATTTTATTTCAAAATCTTTATTATTTGTTTAAAATTCAGTTAAACTTTAAAAAAACAAAAAAAAAACTTTTTTTTTTAACTTCAAAATATTTTAAAACTTTTTAAAAAAATTTAAAAATACTCGTACGTTGACAATTCAAATAT